CACCGCTTTTTTCAGTGTCCATTTTTTAGAGTGCCAGTAGCTATTAATAGTTTTTCTAGAAACTGTTAAATATACAGCATTTGTAAGCCTTTAGAAAGAAAAGGGAAAATCTTCCATAATTCTTTTTATTACAGTGGTGATTTCCTCTCCCTCCCTATACTGTGCAGCTTATGAAAAATTAGGCAGCAGGTTAAACAAGTGGACTTGTTTGCTGAGAGCTGAACACAAACCTGGCATTTCAAGGAAAGAGTTCTTTTTACTTTGGTTTAAAGAGAGATACTAATGTGAAAATTAACAGTGGAAAGTCTGGACTCAGCTGTAAAGAATTTCATAATATTTTTTGATTTGTTATATTTCAGTAATTCAGTACCCTGATGTTATTAATGAATAGTAGGAAAAATGGGTCTATGTTGTCCCTTTTTATTATGGTCAATTTATTAGTGTTTGGAAGACTAAAACATAAGCATGTACAGTCGTATTCAGATTTGAAGAAAAAGGGAAATGTGACGGGAGAAGCATTTTAAAGGAAAAATATTTTAGCACTATAATATTGCAGTAATATTTTGATATACCCATAATATTTTTTCCATAGTTTCCCTCACAGTGACTGCAGTGTCTTTCATTTCCTTAGCATAAATGCATGATGTGTGACACTAAAAAGAAGAGTATAAAGTGAATGACGGTGTTAAGCTCATAATTAAGGATACAACTATGAACTTTGAAGAAGAAAAGGTCATAGCAGAAAATACAATGCTCCTGTTGAGCTATTACTCTATATAAACATAAAAAGGAAAAATGAAGCTTTGTTTTCCTTCATAAACAGCTAAACGAGACACAATAGTTTCTTGTTACAAATTCCTTTTAATGTTAATTTCAATGGTATGTCTTTTCAGGAAACAGTTGAAGTATTTTTGAAACATCCTTCTGTAAAAGATGACTCAGATCTTGAGGGAAGAACATCCTTCATGTGGGCAGCTGGTAAAGGCAGTGATGATGTCATTAGGACTATGCTGAATTTGAAATTGGATATTGATATCAATATGACAGACAAATATGCTGGCACAGGTAAGGCATGCTTTACAGTAAAGAGCCACTGGATGTTTGCAGTTGATATGTTTTTCATAAAGTGAAGAACATTGTCAAAATTTATATTAGTCTTTTCCTAGACTTGGGTCTCCATTTGGAAAATATTTATACATTAGTTTATTTGTGTGTGTGTGATTCACTTCATTGCTTTATTGTGGGAGAAAACAAGTCTTTTCTGTGCAGATTGGACTGATTTGTTTGAAACACGCTAGTGCTAGGCTGATATTTAGTAGATCTATAATCCTGGGAAATTAAGAGCTATTCCATATTTTGAGGAATAAAATGAGATATAATTACATAAAAAGCCCTCCATGAAAATACCTTTTAAAAATCTTTATTTGTAAGTTTAAAAAAAATGACTTTAGGCAAACTAACCGGTGAAGTGGCTGAATCATCAACATGAAAATCACAAGTAGCATGGCTATTTATAGAGCTAGTGTAATAGAGTTTAGAGCTACTGCGTTTCTTTTATCCAAACAAAAGGTTATACTTGATAACCCCCAAGGAGTTTAGTCATTCCATTATCTTACCAAAGCAAAAGATGATGTGTGCGCAACTCAGTGTTTCAGAATTCAAATACTCAAGTGATTAAATTCATAATTATGAATCCTGCAAGTCCTAGCACTGTAAGTTTTTCTCCTTAATGAAAAACTGTAAGAATTTATGGTTAAAATATTATATGTATATAGTGCTTTCAACAAGAACAGAGTAACAGTTCTGAGTGTGAGACAGGTATTGAAGAGTATATGTATTCAACAATGTTGGAAATAAAACTGAAAGCAGTGGAGCCATATAGTGTACTGATGACATAAGAATTGAAAAGAGGTTGTACTGGGCATAAATTGCAGGGATTTAGTAGCAGGGGGCTGCAGGGGTGACATGCGTGGAAGAATGTCAGGAGCTGTCCTGTACCAGTCACAGCTGGATCCAGCTGGCTCTAAAATGGATGAAAACAACCCATTCTGCACCAAAACCTCAACCAGTCAAAGGAGCACAAGGCACCTCTGCTCAAACATATTTAAGAAAGAGTGGTAGCTGCTTGGAGCAGGGCACACATGGAGACACGTGAGAGCACACACAGGAGGAGACATGTGAAGTGATATGTGAAGACACATGAGAGAAAAAAGAGAAATGGAGGGGACATGTCAAAGGGGGACATTGTTGGGGTCGCAGCTGGAGATGCGCTCTTGGAAGGAGGCACTCCGCGCCAGAGATGGTACCCCCTCAAAGGGACTGTGGCCCATGGGTAAGCCACACTGGAGCAAGTGCTCCCCTGAAGGGACTGCAGCCTGAGGAGGACCCACACTGGAGCAGGTCCGCCCTTGAAGGCCCTGTGGAGGATCCATGCCAGAGCTGGTTTACCACCAAAGGGACTGTGGCCTATGGAGGACTCATACTTGAACAGGCACACCCCTGAGGCATAGCTCTTTTGGCATGGAGTGCCTCTTCCAAGAGTGTATTTCCAGCCACGTCCCCAGCAACGTTTCCTTTCACATGTCCCCTCCTTTCTTCCCCTGTTTTCTCCTCTCGCATCTCTTCACGTACCTTTTCATGTGTCTGCTCCACCTGTGCCCTCTCTCTAGCAGCTACTGCTATTTCTTAAATATGAGCAGAGGTGCCATGTGCTCTCTTCTGGCTGGTTGAAGTTTTGGTGCGCAATGGATTGTTTTCTTCCATTTCAGAGCCAGCTGGACCCAACTGTGACTGGCACAGGACAGCTCATAATCTCTTCCCATGCAGGTCGCCCCTGCAGCCTCCTGCTGCCAAACCCCTGAAATTAATGCCCAATATAGAGAGAGTAGATAACATATGATATCTTTTTGGGTTAAGATCATTTTGTGAAGGATCGCTTTGAGGCATTTCTGTTATAGGAGTTCATCTGATCTGGGATAGATCCCGGGTTTGCATTCAGTTATAATACAGAGATTTCTAATTTGTTAGAGATCTGTTAGTACTGACTTAATTTATGGGGTATTTGCTTTCTGAACAAAAATGATAGTTCTGTTGATTCCACGTAGGATACTGAAGAGATTTCTTCAAGAGTAGTCACTGAACTGCTAAGAACTCATGTGTTGATTTTAATTTGTAGAAAAGCTACTTGCAGCAGATAACTTTAAATCCAGTATATCAGATATTGAATCATTTCCATATTACCGAGAAGATAAAAGCTTTAAGGCTTTTAATTTTAAAAATGAACCTTTGAGAAATTAAGGAAAATATTTGGTTGAAGATGTGAAGGAGGTAAGAGCATTGGAATATATTTAAATTATTTGTGCAGAACTCAGTAACTTCCATTCTGAGCAGAAGAGTGGAAAACTTCTCGAGAAGTGCTATGCATCTACCTTGGTAATAGCTACTTTTTAAAATAAGCAGGAAAAAAAAGATTGTTGAAAATGCTTTGTTTTTTTTAAGAATATTGTTGGAGGAATAAAATAAGCATTGTCAAGTCAAGCTGAACTAGACCCGGCAAAAGAGATTCGTTCTGAAAATGGAGCACTTTAAAATGGCGATAAATTGAAAAAGAGCATAAAATGTAATTTAGTAAACCAGTTTGGTTACTTGTCTTTGAGATCACGTACTGGTTAATGAAAATGAAACTGATTAATGGTAATGGTCATGAGATTGGAAGCGATAAATATAATTTGAATTTTAATGCACTTCATAACTACAACAAATTTTTCTACTTTAAGTTGGTATCTTGTTAGCTGGAAATAGTAGAGAAGAAATTTTTAAGTAGATTTATTTACAGAAGACTACGTACTGCTACTGTGATACGCCAGTGAAATTCAACCTCAGGTAAACAAGCTATGTGCAGCAGAGGTAGAGAAAGATTTAGAGGGAGTGGTGTTACTTTAATAGGATACTGTCTGTAATTCTAGCTGTGCATCTTCAAGAAGGAAGAGTCAGATTGGAACAAGTTCAAAAAAACTTTTAGGGTAATAGAAAGAGAGAAGAGCATTTGCTCTGAGAGAAAGTTAGAGGAACGTGGCTTGATTAACCTGGCAGGACCATGGCAGAGAAAAGAGTAAGACTGATGATTGTTGATACTTTCAAGAGATATACAAAAAAGGAAAAGTTTTGACAGTCTTGGTACAAGAGGAGTTAGAGAGAAATGCACAAAAATTAAATGAGGCCAGAACTCGGAAAAAAGTTCTAACATCAAAAGAATGAGATTTTGGAGTGGCCTTTCAGAAAAAGGAGAGAGGGCAAAAAAATAGAGGAGTGTATATGATTTTAAATATCGTTATTTCATTGTTTCTTTATGGTTTTAGTTCTCATTATTTCATTTGCTTCTGAGTCCTGATCATCCAGTATGCATGTTGATTTACACTCAGTCTTTTGAATTAAGTTTCTTCTGAGATGAAATCCACGTGGTGGGTAGTTTACACCAGGAACCAGACTCTGTAGACAATATTGGTGGTACTGCACCACAGCTTTTTTCTTTTCAGGTCACACTTTCAGCTTCTATTCTATTATTAGAATTGCATAGAAACGGTAAATGAATGCAATGTTAGGGGCTGCATCATTCAGCATTTGAAAGATAGCAAGTATGGATGTTACTCGCGACTTGAAATTACTACCTTCTTTGTGTGTATGGGGATCTTAAAAAGTCAAATGCGGTTACTGTAAAATTCTATTTTTGGGTAATATCTTGTTTTACTTACTAGGTAATGTGCTAAAAATGAGGCTTTTCAGGTTGAGATAGTTTGTAATTTTTGAGTTTAAAAATTATGTGAGAAATAAAATAAGAGTCCTCATGCCTGACTGCTTTAGAAACTATGTACTACACCATTTTAATCTTGTTTCGTCTTTTATCGCTTACCTACATTTGCCCCTTCCTGACAATTCCCTTTCAAATACCATGCAGTGTATGTTTCAGACCTTAAAGTGAAGTAATGTTATGTAGTCACAGTGCTTGTTAAAGCTCCTTTAAAAAAAAAAGGTTTTCTTCCACATAGGCAGTACTCATATGTTATATTTTTGAAATTACTCAGGTATGGATTTCATGCTTAAACAATTCAGGTGGTTTGTTTTATCATCCTTCAGTTTTAAACATTTCAAAGCCGAGTAATACTTTTTGGTCTTGATTTTTTTTGATAGGGCTTTTAATCCAAGGAAATGAATGGATTTTTCCATTTACATGAAGCTATCATTGAACAGAACATACTAACAGTGTTAAAGTTCAGAACTATGCCATTCTTTGCTTGCTGTCAAGCAATCTGAATTTTACCATTTTGAAAGCATGTGCAATAGCGTAAGCTTTTATCACAGTGAGCTGTGAAGTTAAAAAGAAATCCACCAAAAAAATAACTTTCTGATTTCAGACCTGATTTTTTTTTACAGGTTCTTAATCATTCCTGAGTTTTGGTGAGGGAAAAGTAGTGCTGTATTTTAATGGGAAGCTGTGCAGTAAGAGAAAATTGTGTACATGCCACTGGACCTGGGATACAGTTGCTGCGGAGACCTTAAGTTTGTGGTTTTTTGACTTTTGTGTATGGGCTCAGTTAAGCTTAGTTATAATGTTGCATTAACATAGCTTTTTACATTTACATAAAAAGAGCAATCTCTGCCTTCAGCTCAGAGCTTTGATAGCACATCAAGACTCTCCTTATTGTGTAGGAAAATGACACCAAGGGAAAGGAATGTGACTGTTCTCAGAGATGAGCTCTGCAGGAGCATTACAGGGGCAGCTTTATAGCTCTGCCGTCACTGCGCACAATGGTGAGGGCTCTGCCTTTCGGGCGAACAAAGGTTCCATTGTGCCCAGCTGGCCGAAGAATCTCCTCAGTCACCCTGACTCCATCACAGAAAATTTGGCTTACAAGAAAATACTGAGCGCAAAGTGCCAAACAAGATGCCTGCGTCAGAATGAGTGATAGAGGGGAAGAACCAGGCCAAGCTGACACAGCAGCTCTTTTTCTATTGTATTGTTATACACACCCCATGTGTCATCTGATTGAGTGGTTTACTGCCTCTGGTTTCATAGGAAATGCAGTACAAAAACCAGAACCTAAGGTTTACTGTGAGGTCAGAACATGAAAACCAGGCTCATCCAAATGTACAAAGCAGCAGGGATTTCTTTCCTGTCAAATTGCTACTTATAGTCACCCACCCACATCACTAGTACAGATACTGGTGCTTACAGTTATTTTTCATGAGTGTGATGAGTGCTCCTACACTTCCTTTGTCTTTTTTTTTTTCCCCCACAATAGCTGCAGTAGATACATATCAGTGTCATCTTAAAGGCATGATTTCAGTTATAAAGATGGCAGTTTCCATACTGTCTCTGGCTATGACCCCTTTTCTTGCAGTAAGTTCCTCTTCTTTCTATATCACGAAATTATTATAACTAAGTTTGAGAGTCTGGGTTTAAGGCAACACTTCAGCTGGATTTGATTCACTGACTATATGAACAAACTGTGCCTTTTAATAGGAACTGTGTAACAGGCTACACTGGGTTAGTGTTTCATCAGCGTCAGTGTTAAACGGCGGCAGGCAAATACAAAAAACCTGTCTGTTTTAATATTCTGGAAGGTGTAAGAAGCAGTTCCTTTTAGTGTTGGGCTTTCTGGTGTACCTTTCTGTCTAATGCCTCTATTGGATCCTAACCCTGCCTTTTTTAACATTAAGCAACATTTAGGTACTGTTTAAAGCCCCACATTTTACTTGTTTGAGCAGAATGAATTCTCACCAAGGGTAGATATGTGTGAAATTTGTAGAGGAAACGTTAATTTGACTATACTAAGTGTACATTTATAAAATTTTTGTATTTTTATTCTAAGTTATTCATCGTCTATGAAATAGTTTAGATGTAAGGCAGTATGCCTCTGAGAATGTGGATAATCTAATTAGTTGCTGATTATAGCAAATAATCCAAAGCACTTTGAAATCAATTTTTAAGTGAAATCTGGAAGATATGTGCCTTCCATTTGTTTGAAATCTCATTGCCGTTTGAGATTTCCTTTCCTTCACAAACAACCCTGAACTGATTGTACTAGCATTTCAACCTTTTCCTCAACTCTGATTGACAGTGCCAGCAGTTGTAGCTGGTAGTAACTTCAGATACAGGACGCTTTGAGGTCTTACTCTGCTAAAGTATCTCTGTGTTATATGTTTATTTAGACTTAATAGAGTCTGCATAGATTGAAGAATGAAAAGACAAAGAAAAACATGGAAGAATGGGAGTCTGTAGAACCAACTTGCATGGTTTTCAAATGAATGAATTTCATAAATTGTAAGGATGAGAGGAAATGGAGTATCTGCGTTGTGCATCGTTTCCCCTTTCAGAAATGAAGATACTATATGAGATGTGATGGCCTTTCTACACAATTTTGTGTAAAATTTTTCCCAAGTAATTCTGAAAAAGGCAAGCAAAATAGCTGAGTGGTCACCTGGAGTTAGTTTTAATGGAGACAGCTTTGCTTATTTGAAAAAACTGTTATTTTTCAGGAAAACGTTGGAGAAGTAATGAAGGCTTTCCTTCCTTGGCAGTGGACTATTTCATTTCCATTGGGGTCATACAGTGAACAGAGGCAGAAGGAGAACGTGCTCTCTTAGGCAGAGGCTGATGTACTTCCAAAAATCCTCACTGTTAAGCCAATCTTGCTGTTTTTAAGGTTCAAATTCCTGTTTGTACGAGTTAAAACCTGTTTCAGAGCTAACAGTTTTTCTGCTTATTGCTCTTTTGCTTGCAAGCAAGGGAAGTGGTGTGATTGCCCGTCACTTGTTATGATTCTTCAATTTCTTACAGTTGAAAAGCAGCTTCGAAATTTGAAATTAATTTTTATTTTGACCATTCTAACTGTTGACCTCAAAAGCTTACGAATATGTGTCGTTCCTCAGTGATTTCTGTTTTCTACTACTTTATTCTTTTAGCCTTACATGCTGCTGCACTTTCTGGCCATGTCAAGACAGTGAAACTGCTGTTGGAACATAATGCACAGGTAGATGCTTTAGATGTCATGAAACACACTCCGCTTTTCCGAGCCTGTGAGATGGGACACAAAGAAGTAATACAAACACTCATTAAAGGTCAGCCATTACCAATTTACCAACCTGTTCAGAATTCTGATGTTCCTTTATGTGAGACTCTGAAATAAACAGCATTGCTGAGCAAGAAGGAGGTAGGAAATTCCTCCTTTAAAGAAGGTATTGTCCATAAGTACCCTTTGTCGAACAGTGCTAGTAGATATAAATCATTTTCAGACCATTGTGCAAAACGGCCAAAAGAGTTAAATACAAACTTTCAAATTAGGCAGAGCTGTATCCACAGCTCTTTTCTGCTCAAGGCTTTTCAAGTACGTTCTGGTCTCTCAAACCACCTCTTCTCTTTTTTCTCAGTAAGACCAAATTAAACTTTCTTCTCTTTTTGTAAAAAGCATTTTTAGGCTGCTTTGGAGATTTTTTGACTACTTAAATGAATAATCTATTTCTAATTAAGGTAGCTATCAGAAATGTTAAATCATTAATGTTTTCCTGTGGTTGTTTTTTAGAAGCAGTATTTTATTTGTAAACAGAAGTAAGGTTTAATAACGTAAACAGATTGAGCTAACTGTAAAAACTGTTTGTCTGTAAGAAATATGGTGAAAGAACAGTGGTCTCTTAGATACAAAATTATGTCATTTTAGCTCCACGTAAAATTTCTAAGTAGACTGGAAGCAGTCTCCCTCCTACCTGAGAGATTCACCTGTTTATAATCAGTTGAAGTATTCAGGGTGACACGTTGCAAGTTTTCTGCTAGACAGCCTTTCTTACTGAAAGCTTGCTTCCCTCAGTGTTTTTCGGGGCATATTTTAACCTTCTGCTGAGCACCTCCCTCCCTCTCTCCCTTCCTCCTTCCCTTCCCTCCTCCCCCCACCATTTCGCTTTTGTGGATGCAAGGCGCTTTGTTATCAGAGTATGAATTTTATTTTTGTGTTGAGTTTTTTTTCTCTTACAAGAATATACAAGGAAATTAATTAACTGGATAAGAGTACTAGCATGCTTGAATTAAAAAAGAAAAACTTTTTAAAAAGCCGTTCTTAACGTTGTGAATATTTTATCATCTTGTTAAAAAGAAATGAAGTCTGAAGTCCAGTTTTCAAAAGTGGTTTTTGCCATTAAGAAATTTAGGTTTCATTGAAGATTAATAATTTTGAAACAAATAAAGACTAGATTTGCAAGGCCATTTGACCAACCTGGAACTTCTAAAGCATCTTGAGAGGATTCTAAGCATTTAAAGAAGTTAGATGCCTGGCCCTCACTGAAACTACTTCATTCCCAATTGATTTTGAAAGTTGAATTTAGGTGCCGAAATTGAAGTTACTCTGGATTGCAGGTTTACCAGAGAAGTTCCACTTGAACATAAACTTAATCTTTGCTTTCTTTTTCATTCGATGGTTTTTTTATTGTTGTTCAAAAATTTATTTCTTGTTCCAGGAGGAGCAAGAGTAGATTTAGTTGATCAAGACGGCCATTCACCCCTTCACTGGGCAGCACTAGGAGGAAATGCTGATGTGTGCCAAATCTTGATAGAAAATAAAATCAACCCTAATGTGCAGGATTATGCAGGTAGAACACCTCTGCAGTGTGCTGCATATGGAGGTTACATTAACTGCATGGTAGTGTTATTGGAAAACAACGCAGATCCAAATATTCAAGATAAAGAGGTATGTTGTCTTTTGCGGGGCTATTCAATGACTTCAGTATAACCATAAATCAAAATGTTTTCCTTTTCTTAAAGATCATTCCCTTTTCTGGGACATATGGCAGCATTGCTGCAGTTTATCGTGAAACAAAATGCATCAGGACATAATACTCCCCTTGGCTTCACTTCTAAAATCTTCAATGAAAAATAATATTTTAATATGCAACATAAATTGAAGATGCACATTTTTCTATATCACCGCTGACTTTTCCTTATGTACTTGTACATATGATTGTACAAGCAGTGTTTTAAGCATCATATTTCTTAACTTCTGTTGTTCCATATTAACAATTGACGTGGGTATGTTATTTTATAGTCTGCAGTGTATTTCTTCAGCTTGTATTAGTTATATAGAGTAAGAAAGATATTACAAGTTTTGAAAAAACTACCCCAATTTCTTATCTCAGTGTAGCCAAGTGAAAGAAATAATACTCGTATGTTTACGGGTTCTTTTGCTGCATTTCTCAAGCAAAAAGGGAAATCAGGAGTCAAAATAGTTGTGCAACATATAACCAAATTTCTTTGCTATTTGACATAATTTCCGTGAAGTTGGTAGAAGTTCATCAGTCAAAAGAATTTCACCCAGTTTGTTAAACTTTTCTCTGGCTATTTGTTGTAGGACTGGGATAATCCCAGATAATGGAAAAACTTTTTTATTATGGGTTCTACAGAGCATTTTAGGAACATTTTCCAAACCTGCTACCAGCTTCTATGGCATCAGCTTGAGTCCAGTTGAGCACGCTAGCTCAAGGCCTCCTGCTTCACACAGACTCTGCAGCATGTTCTTCAGCGCTCAGGGTTCAGGGGATGGCTTGTTAGCACTGGACTCAAAATGACTTCATGCTTTTGTCTGGTACCCAGCTTTTCCTAAATTTGGAATTTGGAAAAATATGGTGCGGATACAGGAGACAAAGCTGGAAGTGAGATGAAATAGGTGTATTTTGCTGATACTAGCAGATCTTGAGGTATTTGTACTGTGATTCTCGGTGATCCCAGTCCCAAGAGTGGTTATATACATGAGCTGGCTATACGTGGAAGGCAGTTTGTGAACTGGGCTTCTGCCAAATGTAAGAGGAACTAGGGTTTTGAAATCAAACTGATTTTGAAAGCACAACTGGAGTCCTGCTGTGTTTTCCTGAGCTGATAACTTTTCCCCAAACTCCATTTGATTTTGATGCTATATTCTCTCATAGTCATCACAGTAACTTGGATAAGCCTAGAAAGCAGTCTGAAGTACAAAAGTTAGTGGTAGCTGCTTCAGATCAGGGTAGTCTAGTTGTGAAGAAAGCAACTTTAGTGCTTATATCCTAATGCTATTTTTCAGTTGCTTTAGATGAAACAGCACTAGTGTTACAGTCTAGTTTTAAAGAAAAAAGATTACTTCATTTTTAAATGCTGTATTCTTTCATTTCAACACGGAAATTTATTTAGAGCAACTATCCTTCATGTTCAGAGAAGCGCTGAATTACAGGATTATTTTGGCATCATAAAGTTTAGGGCTAATGTTCATTTTCGGTCTGTTTTATTGTTTATAGGGAAGAACTGCTTTACACTGGCTGTGTAATAATGGCTACCTTGATGCTATAAAGCTGCTACTTGGTTTTGATGCTTTCCCTAATCATATGGAAAACAGTGAGGAGAGGTATTGTTCATCTGAATGCATTATTTTCTGACTTACCAAATATGCTAGCTGCTGATTTAAAGGTTAGGTGTTCCAATATTGGCAGAGCATCATGATCTTGCTCGTATCTTAAAAAAAAAAAAAAGTGTTATAATCTTGGGCTTAGCAGTTTCTCTAATTTGAAAAAATCTTTTCTTTAGGTGAGACATTGAAGATTTGAACTTCAACTTTTTATGCTTTTCCACCCTGAGCTTGAAGAGATTTCTTACACATACTGCATACTACAGATACATACACAGGGATACTTACCCATTCTAATCTCATTTAAAATATTAAGGATATTTTTCATTTATATAAAGTTGACAGTAGATACGTATGATGAAAGGATGAAATGGCATTTCTGCTCCTGCAATAGACTGGAATTCTTCTCTTCTGTTTGGTAGGGGTACAGTGAGATGAACAAAGGTGGGAGAAATATGAAGTTATGTTTCAGAATAGTGATTACAAATTACCTGGTGGTTAACCGTATTCTAAAGGCCCTTTTTTTTTTTTTTTAAAAAAAAAAAAAAAAGGAAAGATCCTGCAGCAATCATGAGGAGACAGTATACTTGCATCTCTCTTCTCATTTTTATTTTATTTTTTATGCTTTTTATTTACATCATCTTTAATTGATATGTAAATAATAGGTTTAAAAAAGTGATTTAGGTAGTGGAGTGTAAATTAATCACCTGATCATAAAGATAATTAGTGTTAGCATAAATTTATGATGCCTTTTTAGAGAGTAGATGACCTCCTCAAATCCTAAATAAACTTATGATCAGTATGTCTCATAATTTTGAATATTTGAACATTTTAAATAATTAAAATACTTTAAATAAATAACTAAAATACTTTGAACCTCCATATTGTAGGGCTAATTTGAGACTTACATATTTATCCCACATTTTTAATTTCATTTTTTCCCCTGTCACTTTCCTTTTGTTCTCTATTCTAGTCATTCACATCTCTCTTCCTCTTCTGCTTATTCTTTTTTTTGAGAAACACAAGTGAAAGTATTAAGTAGATCCTAATTAAGTAGTTTAAATGCTCTCTTTAGTAATTTTCAATAGAAAATTAAATAACCAGTTGTAATTAAGTTCTTTTTAGTAAGTAAGATTAAAAGCAGCTCTTTTACTGAGAAGGAGGCTATTATTTTCCTTATTTTGTAAAAATATGCTAATGATGCTCAAATGTCAGGGAAAGACCTTTGCTGTGGTATTACTATAGTCATTCAGTTAGTATCTATTTTTGTTTCCCTTCTGGCATTAATATAAGTTCTGGTGTATAAATGTAGTTTACTTCAAGTGCAACTAGCAGTATTTTAAAAAATCAGTCCTTGAGCGCTAGTCCTTGTGGAGAACAAAACAGATCCCTCGTCCAGTATTTCCAGGTGAATCACTTTTAAATATAATTGTCCTAAAATATATATTATTGCCACCTTGTTTTCTTATTAAGAGAGCAGAAGTTTGGAAAGTGGAAAAGAAAGTCAAATGTTGTAAAAGACAGTAAGAATAACCTCAGGGATATGGTTCAAGCATAATCATGAAATTGCTTTTGTAGTTCAATAACAGTTTCACCAAATAACAACAATTTTCCAGTATACCTATAGAAATAAGCTTCCCATCTCCATGTTTTAGAGTTCAAAATTGAAGCACGTAGATTGAAGAGGCTTGTGGAAGGATGGAGATGAGATAGCATCTAGGCTTTGAAGTTGACCGCTTGTCTTACAAACTCCTATTCAGATTTAATTGAGTGATAATTTATTCTCCAATGGAGTCATTGGATCTGTATATAAGAATAGGGGTCTGCATGACTCAAATTCCCTGTATGGCACATGGTTTGGGTACATATATGCTAGCTGCATGAAGTTTACTTCAGTATCTTTTGTATCTATTAATTGAATATTCAAAACTGTAGGTATACATTAAAACTTATTTTTCTCAAATGAATTCCCTTCTGAAGTACCTGTTCCTGAGTTATCTGAAAGCTGTATTTCCTTAGATGTTATCAGCAACACATCTTGACATACAAATTTTCATGTTATGTCATTGTCTTTATTCATGTTGACACTTCAGTTCAGATACTCTTAATCCTCCCATCAAATCATTGCTGCATAGCAAATCCAATTGTGCTCTTTCTGGTTGTTTTTCTGTGTTTATCAGCATTGCATCCTAGCTAGTTACCATCAAGAAGAGGCCTACTTTTCACAGTAACATGCATAGACACTTGCTGTTTGATGTTATGTACTATATGATCTTGATTATGGTTTACAACTGATAATTTTCAGTCACTGAACGTCTTTGCATAATGTTTCAGTGTTGGTGAGGGAGGTATGTATATTTTGCTGCTCTTTACTAGCTATGGGAATTTGGGGTATTTTTTTCAAAAGTGCTTAAGCAGCTGTAATGCCTATATCCCATTTAAAAGCGAAGGCACTTAATATTTCTATTGCCTTTGTCAATTTGAAAGCAAACTTAATCAGCTTAGTGTGTTTTTTTTTTTTTTTTTTTTACTGTTATCCTTTAATGCAGGTTTAATATTACTGTTTGGTCAGTCATCCTGTCCTCAGTCATTCTGTCATGCTCTGTCAGTACGTCTAAATTCTGTGCTTGGTACAACTTCTCTTTCTCTTTTCTTCTGTCTCCTTGCTGAATTATATAGTTGTCTTGCTCGTGTGGTGTTCTTGTAAAACAAACAAATGCTTTTAACTAAACTTTAGAGTCAGCCCATAAAACTTGTTTTTAACATAGAAGCTAAGCCAAATTTGACAGTAAGTCTTTAGAAGTTAAATGCATGTGGAGATAACACAAAAAACGTTTTTGCTTGCTTTGTATTTAGATTATATTTCTATATGAGAACCTTAATAAATTTTTAAAGATTACTTGCTTAAATAAGTTACTTGTATGGATACGGCTTTGGAGGATTTTCATGCATTTATTGCATAGCGTCTAATAGCCCCATACCCCATATGAGAAGACTTAAAATATGCCTTAAATACAGTCATGGTGTTTAGGTGAGTAAGAAAAATAATATTAAAAAAAGACAAAAATGGCCCACTGAAAACAGTGTATAAGCCGTATTAATACTAGAAGTTGCCTTATTATGAAGTGAGGGTGAACGTCATAAAGTAAATGCACATTGCAATTAGAAATCTCATTCAATGATAACTATTGTGTTTTTTTTTTTAGATATACTCCCCTTGATTATGCCTTGCTTGGTGAACACCATGAGGTGATTCAGTTCATGTTAGAACATGGCGCTCTGTCTATAGCTGCCATACAGGACATTGCTGCTTTCAAAATTCAGGCTGTCTACAAAGGATACAAAGTTAGAAAGGCTTTTCAAGAGAGGAAGAATCTTTTAATGAAACATGAACAGCTGAGGAAAGATGCGGCTGCCAAGTAAGTCTGAAGACTTGAAGTCTGCTCTAACAAAATACACGTTTGTCATACGTTTGTATGTATCAATATATACTTTTATCTGTTTCTCATCATCGCTTACTGTTCCTCTTAGTAAATTTCATGAAAGTGTACCAAGCATATAATGGAATTCTTTCCAGAATCCCATAAATGGGAATTATTTTACAGATAATCCCAAATTAAAAAGCAAGCTTTATATAATATACGAGAACAAGGCAAAATACCAAAGGCTGAGAAACTAGTATATCCATGAATTTAGCTATTATTTTGTATGATGATAAAAAGGTTGAAAAACACTTATTGCTCTAAGGGAATGAAAATAATTATTGACCTAGCTAGTCTGTGATACCAGCTTAAAAAGAAATTAATAATTAAATGAAGAAGATAAATGAGATAGAAGAGCACAGTTTGATAAGGCTGAACTAACTTTGTTTTACAGGGGAGGTTTTGCTTTTCTCACAAACTAAACCTTTTGGATTTTATTTGAAAACTCCGTCTTAGCAGTATCATATATTTGCAATTAGATTTTCTGCTCTTGAGTTAAAGAGGTGACCATGAAATCATTATATTAGATTATGCAATTGTAAGATGTGACAGTTCTGATTGAGCTTCTACCCTATTTAATTGATGTAGTGGAAGCAAAGTAGTGAAATTATACAATCAGACAGTACATAAATAATCTTCATCAAAATACTTTTGTTGCTTTTACTTTATCCTTAAGGTTCATATTATGAAAAAAGAACAAATTGGCACTTAGTTTCTCTTGAAGGCTGATTGTGAAATGAAAAACGTAATCTGAAAAGACTGTTACATGATTGTGTAGTATCCCTGGAAAGGTGATGGAGCAGCTCCTCCTGGAGGTCCTCACTAAGCATGTGGAGGACAAGCAGGTGATCAGGAGGAGTCAGCATGGATTCACCAAAGGGAAATCATGCTTGACCAGTCTGGTCGCCTTCTCTGAGGGAATGACTGGCTGAGTCATATATGACTCAGGGAATGACTGGCCTGTCATATTCTGACAGGTAAACTCAGGAAGGGTGGGTTGGATGAGTGGACAGCGAGGGGGATTGAGAACTGGCCGGATGGCAGAGCTCAGAGGGTTGTGGTGATCAGCAGCGCAGAGTCCAGTTGGAGGCCTGTAGCTAGCAGTGTCCTCCAGGGGTCAGTCCTGGGTCCAATCCTGGTCAACTTATTCATCAATGACCTGGAGGAAGGGACAGAGTGCACCCTCAGCAAGTCTGGTGATGATCCAAAACTGGGAGGAGCTGCTGAC